CCCTCCCAGTTCCCCCCCAGTTCCCTCCCAGTCCCTCCCAGTTCCCCCCCAGTTCCTCCCAGTCCCTCCCAGTCCCTCCCAGTCCCTCCCAGTTCCTCACCACGCATTTCCTGCCCAGCAGCTCGAAGATCCTCAGGTTCTCCTGCTGCTCCAGCAGCTCCGAGGGGACGTTGTCCCCCCCCTGCCGCCCCCCCCGGCTCATCCCCAATCCCAGGGGGTCCCCAAAAATCCCTGGAAACCTCCAAAAAAACCCAAAAAAATTCCTAAAAAAATCCCCAAAAAAACCTCACCCAAAAATACCAAAAAATAACAAAAATACCAAAAAATAACCAAAAATACAAAAAAATACCAAAAAATACCAAAAATACCAAAAAATAACCAAAAATACCAAAAAATCCCAAAAATACCAAAAAATAACCAAAAATACCAAAAAATAACCAAAAAAAAAAACCTCAAAAAATGAAAAAAAAACCTCAAAAAAACCTAAAAAACTCCACAAACCCCAAGAAAATACCAAAAAATACCCAAAAAAATCCTAAAAAAACTGCCAAGAAAATACCAAAAAAAAACCCAAAAAAAAACCCAAAAAAATAACCAAATACCCCCCAAAACCCCCCAAAAAAACCCCAAAAAAAACCAAAAAAATAACCAAACACCCCCCAAAAAACCCCAAAAAAACCCCCACAAAAAACCCAAAAAAATAATCAAACACCCCCCCAAAAAAACCCCCACAAAAAACCCAAAAAAATAATCAAACACCCCCCCAAAAAAACCCCCACAAAAAACCCAAAAAAAATAACCAGACACCCCCCAAGAAACCAAAAAACCCCACAAAAAAACCACAAAAAACCCCAAAAACTGCAAAAAAAACCCTAAAAAAAACCCCAAAAATACAAAAAAAAACCCCAAAATCCCAAAAAAATCCCAAAATAACCCAAAATACCCCAAAACGCCCCAAAAAAATCCCCCCAAAAATAAAAACTCCCCCCCCAAAAAACTCAAAACCCCAAAAGGCCCCGAAAGCTCCGGGGGCCCCGAGGTCTCTTCCGGGTGGAAGCGCCCAAAGGTGGTGGGGACGTCACCTCCGGACTGGGAGGGAACTGGGGGAACTGGGAGGGACTGGGGGGGACTGGGAGGGACTGGGGGAACTGGGAGGGACTGGGGGGGAC